AGCTCAATTTGTAATTTTCCTCAGGGGTTTGAAATCATTACAAAAATACATTTATAAAATGAAATGTGTACTTTCGTTTAATCAAAAAGACTAATTTCATAATGGTTTTACTCAAAATGGCATCACTTAGAACAGAAATGCTTAGGAAACTTATTTTCATTGGTGGTATCCTTGTACCATTTTACTGAGTCACAAAGAATGACCATGATTAGCTTATTCAAGGTAGTCCCTAGATTTATTTAGCGATGAATAAAAAAACCCTAATGTGATATAGCATATTATTTACGGTAATTTGACAGAAGGCCCACTCTGAACACGAGTTCATTGTTAAGTTAACTTTAAAAATTCTTAGATTTATGTTTGAGAAAGACTGATTAAAAATAATAATTTCAAAATTGTGGGAGAATCTTTGCAGCAACTCAAACACAAACTGACCATTTTCAAATCTGTAAGTGTATCCATTATATTAGCATAATAATAGGAGGGGATGGGAAATAGTTCTGGAGTTCACATGTCTGCGCAGAAGCATATATAAAGGTAATGTTATGTACATTTTATTTCAATAAAGACATAAGACAAACAGCGTAAAGATGCCCAGATGCCCTAAAGATAAATACATTTAAAAGATTCTCATTAAAATGAATCTGTAGTATTTCTTTCCTGCAAGCAAAATACCTTTCTTTAAATACAAAAAAAAAAAAATCAGTATTCTGAATTGCAAATGCTTTTCACTTTTTTTTGCAGAAAATCTGCCATGATGACTTTTTTTTAATGAATAAAGATTTTCCACAAAACAGGCTTGCTCTACATGCTAATTTTTTAACAGTTCATTGACACAATGTGCTAGCTACATACACAACAGATAATATAGTAAGAAAACACTCAACCTGATGAAAAGTTAAAATCTTCATTAATACACTGGAAAAAGTTGACATAACTCATGCCTTTTAAAATTAAAAATACAAAATTAAATGTTTTCCTAAAAAGATTTTCCTTATTTTAAGGACTCATTTGAAAATGAAGCTGCATGTAATTTGTACAATAAAATTGTACAAGTAAACAGGTAATATACATAAAAAATTAATTGACATACTTCTCAATTATCAGTTGTCCACCTTTAATTTCCAATACTGTACTTTCTTAACAAGCATACAAAATATCAAACTTCTCTTTAGAAAAAGTGCCGTTCTGTGACATCCTTTACACAAAAACAGTCCGAGCCTGTGGCTTGTTAATGCAGTCGAGAGGCAAAGCATCCTAACTTTTACAAATTATACCTTCCATAAAAAGCCTCCTGAAAAGGAGATTACACACCATTATAAAAATATCAACCTCTTGTAGTAGCTGCATTAGAGACCCACGGCTTGAAGACTATTTCCATATAGCATAGAAAACCACTATGATAGCATATTAACTGCACTGGTGGCATGGGAGTGTACTGCATTACAGGGTCATGCATAGTTACTGTTAGGTACCTTCACTGTTACACAAAGTTTAAAACTGATTGTAACAAACAGCATAACAAGAGGTACCACCAGCCCATGCAAAACATCTTAAAATACTGAGCCACTGTGCAGAATACTTCATTCTTGGAGGAATCCAAAGGCAGCAGTAATTGATTTGCATTAAATCCAACAGGTGACCAAATAATTCTCCTTAACGATTTGTATGCACAGTATAATCTGAGGTATTCCTTGTCCATCAATTGAGCGTGCCACTGCAAGATATTGTCTGTCCAGAGTACATGCCATCACAATGGTTTAAATATTCTGAATATTAGTAATTCTTATATTCTTATCTAGCCAGTCTCTTGATTTTTGAAAAGATTTCAACTACAGTAGAATATTACAAGAAACAAAATATAAATGCAGGTATTTCTAAATGAAACTTACATGGACTAAAACTAGAGAATATTTTTAAACAAATATACAGTATGCAGGCAGACGAAGCAGGAAAACGGCCATTCAATTGTATAATAAAAAACTAATAAAATTTGGCTATTTCCAGAAAAACTATGAAGCGCCTCAACTAAAAGGAATGCATAATGAAATTCTAAGCTAATACAGGTCAAAAATGTAAAAAGGTTATAAACCTTAACAGGAAAAATAAAACAACTTTTACTGGCCATTCCTGTTGAAATGAGAATCTTAAAAGTAACAGAAAAGTGGCTACAAACCCACTTAGAGCACCGAACAGAGAGAAAATAAGAGTCCATTTTCAATCTCTGTTATATCATAAAATCCTGTATTTCTACAGGTCAAACTGCTGGTGGCAGAAACAGAATTCTTTATAAACTGCAGATGTCCTGTACATAAAAAAATTTCATTGGAGTTGCACTAGTTCTAAAGACTTTTCTGTTCTCGCCTACCTACTGTATTGTACTGTATGTATTCAATCTGAGATATATAAAGTCTCTTTCTGTAACCCTTGATTACTGTTGGGCACCAAAGATAAGAAAAGCAAGACGGGGTACAAAAATGCAAAATTTCAACAGTAATGGCAATGTTTTTGTTTTAGTCCAAAAGGGTCCTGCATTTTCTCCCCCTTCAGTAATTTGATAAAAGGCTTCGTATTTAATCTGGGGGTAGTAAGTCATGCAAGCGAAATCTGTCTCTGATGTGAGGTCGGACATCTTCATTCTGTAGAAAAAAAATGAAATTACAGGTTTTAAAATAATAAATCAAGTGACACTTTAGACTTTAAGAGTTATGTTTTCAAATTATGTTAATATACATAATACAATTACAACTCTAACATTTACATCAACCCAGTGACATAAGTATTATCTCAATTTTTTCAAATGAGGAAACATATGTGCAGATCGGTAAGTCACTTAACTGAAGGGCCCATAGGAAGAGTCAGAACTGATTTTAATCTTCTAGCCATGTACTCAACTCCATATTCTGCTTTTGACCAACAAGCACTTCCTATGCATATTTTGGATTTCTGTCCAGGCAAGACAGTTTTGGAATGCTGCTGTGTAACACTTTCAAAAGTTTCCAAGTGATGTAGGCTCAAAAATCTCAAACAATTTTGAAATTTTTCCTTGAGCATATATGAAAAAAAGATAACACTGAATACTCACCAGCTCTACAAGTTTCTCGAGAAAAGGAATTAATTTTAGGAGTTCATTGTCATTTTTGTCCATGAACCAGCTCTCTATAGGAATTCCATTTGAAAGCTAAAATAAAATCACAGATCTGCTGAATATCTCTGAAAAAGGACACTGATGATATAGTACATTTTATGCAAAACATGTTTTGAGCCAACAGAACCTATCAACACATATTGTTGCTCTAGAAATGATTTTAAAATCCATTTGTAAAAAAGTTTCCTCCATTGGGGAGGGGGGACACCAAGGCTCAGAGACTTGCCACAGGGCTGGAACACAAGCTTCCTATGGGCCATACCTAATTAAGCAGGGTACCAGATTCAGCCCACAGGCCGTAGGTTCTCCTCCTGCACTACATCAATGCTGACATTTTTAGCATTAAAACTCCTGCTGGACTGAAATGCATAGACGTGTTCAGAAAGTCTTCACCTATAGGCAGACACTGCAGACGTCTGTAAAACCAAAGCTGACCCCAGTTTACATATGCAAGTGAAGGTGAGTTTAACAGCTACTCACTGAAATTAAGAACAAAGCTGAAAAAAACCCTGTATTTTGATAATTGTTTAGAATGTACAAAATTCCTTCAAAACTTAACAGAATTAACTCTGAAATATACAGTAATGCTTCAGAGGGGCAGCCGAGTTAGTCTGTAACTGGAAAGACTTAAAAAACAACAAATACTCTAGCAGCACCTTGAAGACTAACAAAACATGTAGATGGTATCATGAGCTTTCGTGGGTACAACCATTCATCTTCAACCATTCATCTGAAGAAGTGGGTTTTGCCCACGAAAGCTCATGATACCATCTACATGTTTTGTGCTGCTAGACTATTCATTGTTTTTTATATACAGTAAATACATTTTTGATTCCGCTGTTTTGAACCATTTGGGGATGTTTCTTAGGAAGCCCACTGTTAATGTTTTAAATCCAAAACCCATTCCCAGGGGACAATATAGCATTTGAAAGACCACTAATAGAAGTGGTTTCACCTGGAAAAATGGCCTAGTGCCCAGGTGGTGGGTCAATTGTCAATGAACAGCAGCAAAAAGCAGGAGGTCCCTGGAAATAATTCCATCTAGAAACCTGTACAGATTAGCAACTGTTGACTAAGCAGCCATGTATCCAGGAGCTGTTCTCCTTCATTCAGCAAAAACTATGGCCAAAACCCCAGAGCTCTTGAAGCTCCTTATGCATGGCATTTCTACCAAGAAATACTATCATGAACTGGCAGTATTTCACATCCCAGTTCATGCACAAGTTATGTGCCTTTCTGAAGGCCAAGTTCCTGAAAACCTCTGTTACCACTCACTAACATAGAGCCCAGTAGGAATACTGAAATGCTTTGTTAGTTATAATCCCAAGGACTAGGCAGGGCTACTCCCACCAATTTTATACCATAAGGGAAGTCCTGCAGGTCTTTATGGGATTCTTTCCCTTCAGGTTATTTTGTGGCCACCAGGCATAGGAAAAATTTGGCCTTCCTATGAGAGGGCTGGGAAGAATAAGACATAAGTGCTTTCAGTGTGATTCAGTACATTTTACAGCTAAGGAAATGACTTGGGGATGTAGAAGTGTTCACCAGAGGAAATTTTAAGAAAGGTCCAGTACATGCAGATGCAAAATTATAATCAACAGGTACAACTATGGGTCTTTTACCCAGGTGACCCTGTGTGACCAGGTCCTTTTACTGCTTCCTTCGGCCAAGTCAAAGTGAATGCCCAGTGGCAGGTCCTATTTTAAATTAGTAAACATGTAGGCCAGTGGATGATGAGATAAAAATGATGTCCAGAAGAGAGGAAACCAAAATTTATCATGTGAATCTTCAAAACCTTGGAAAACGCAAGCAAGATTGGTTGATAACTCCCTTCCCTGAATTAGGACTCCAAACACCCGGTGGCTGAAACCTGACACTAACTCTTGAAGGTAAGTCTTACCTCTGTCAAGAAGCAGCAACTCTTCCAATTGACCAATGACATTGCTACATTATTTTCCTTCTCCCCTGGGATAACACAGTAATCCAACACCTCGAAATAATTGGTCAGGAAGAACCCTAGACACTTTACATGGAAACCATGGGGCACTGTTTGAGAAGAAATCATGATGGAGATGGGGTTCCTCCATTCACTTTCTGATTCCCTAATTATAAGAACATAAGAACGGCCAGACTGGCTCAGACCAAAAGTCCATCTAGCCCAGCGTCCTGTCTTCCGACAGTGGCCAATGCCAGATGCCCCAGAAGGAATGAACAGACCAGGACATTCTTATGTTCTTATAATTAGGGAGGCAGAAATTGAATGGACGAACCCCATAGCTGTGGTTCCCAAACTGGATGAGTTGGATTTGTATCAATTTTAGGAAAGGTAACACTGCCTTGAAAGTTTATACCTGTCTGATAATACAGGTAGACAATTTATTACAGTGGCTGGGACCGGTGAGGTACCTATTAAATTGAAGCAAAATGCAGGACAATGTAGCACTTTAAAGACTAACAAGATGGTTTATTAGATGATGAGCTTTCGTGGGCCAGACCCATTTCCTCAGATCAAATAGTGGAAGAAAGTAGTCACAACCATATATACCAAAGGATACAATTCTTAAAAGCCTCCCCACAGCTACTCGGGAACAAATCCTCACAGAATCACCTTCTGACCCCCGACCAGGATTGTTCTATCTACTTCCCAAGATCCATAAACCTGGGCACCCCGGACGTCCCATCATCTCTGGTATTGGCACGCTCACTACTGGTCTATCCAGCTATGTAGACACTCTTCTCAAACCCTTCGTAACCAATACCCCCAGCTATCTCCGAGACACTACTGACTTCCTAAGGAAACTACAAAACATCGATAACCTCCCCAATAATACCATCCTTGCCACCATGGATGTAGAAGCTCTATATACCAACATCCCACATGAAGACGGATTACAAGCAATTAGAAACACTATCCCAGAGGACACTACTGCCAACCTGATAGCAGACCTATGTAACTTTGTTCTCACCCACAATTATTTCCGGTTTGAGAACAACTTATACCTCCAGATCAGCGGCACAGCCATGGGTACACGCATGGCCCCACAGTATGCTAACATCTTTATGGCTGACCTAGAACAACGTTTCCTCAACTCCCGTCCCCTTTCACCCCTCCTCTACCTACGGTACATCGATGACATCTTTATGATCTGGACACATGGCCAAGAAACACTGGAGATATTCCACAGAGATTTCAACAACCTACACCCCACCATCAACCTCAGCCTGGACCATTCTACACGAGAGATCCACTTCCTGGACACCACCGTACAAATCAACAATGGAAAATTAGACACCACTCTCTACAGAAAACCCACTGACTCATACAGTTACCTACATGCATCCAGCTCCCATCCAGAACACACCACACGATCCATCGTCTATAGCCAAGCCCTTCGATACAACCGCATCTGCTCTAACCCCACTGACAGAGACCAGAAGCTTCAGGATCTCTACCAAGCATTTATAAATCTCAACTACCCACCCAGAGAAACAAAAAAGCAAATTGAAAGAGCCAGACGAATACCTAGAAACCATCTACTTCAAGACAGACCCAAGAAAACCAACAATAGAACACCACTTGTCATCACCTACAACCCCCAACTTAAACCTGTCCAACACATTATCAATAAACTACAGCCTATATTGGAACAGGATACCATACTCAAAGAGGCTCTGGGAGACAGACCCATAGTCTCCTATAGACAACCACCTAACCTCAAGATGATTCTTACCAACCACCACAGGACATACCACACTAATACCAACCCTGGTACCTTCCCTTGCAACAAACCCCGTTGCCAGCTTTGTCCACATATTCATTCTGCTGATACCATTATTGGACCTAACCAAGTGAGTTATAAGATCAAGAACACATATTCCTGCGCATCCAGAAATATAATCTACGCTATCATGTGCCGAAAGTGTCCGTCTGCTATGTACATTGGACAAACATCTCAGACACTTCGCCAAAGGATTAATGCCCACAAAACAGATATCAGACAAGATCACAAAGAGAAAACAGTTTCTTGCCACTTTAACCAGAAAGGACACTCTCTAAATGACTTAGCCACCTGCATTCTGCTACAAAGACCTTTTACATCTGCACTTGAAAGGGAATCCTCTGAACTGTCATTCATGTTAAAATTCGACACTTACCACCAGGGACTTAACAAGTCTTTGAACTTTCTCACCCATTATCAAGACAGTTTCCCCAATTATCACCTGTAATACCATTAACTCACAAACATCCCACTCTCCCTACCTCTAATATCATCAATTCACAGACACTTACCTTCCTTCCTCCCCCTTCCCACCCCCCCGCCTCCTCCTTCTGTTCTGCAATGTGATTTGTCCTTTTCATATTTGTTCTTTTTTTTAATTGTATCCTTTGGTATATATGGTTGTGACTACTTTCTTCCACTATTTGATCTGAGGAAGTGGGTCTGGCCCACGAAAGCTCATCATCTAATAAACCATCTTGTTAGTCTTTAAAGTGCTACATTGTCCTGCATTTTGCTTCAACTACCCCAGACTAACACGGCTACATTTCTATCACTATTAAATTGAAGCGTTCCTGGCAGATCCCTTTATTCCCATCCTAGCCTGAGAAAACCTCTCTCAACTGCTTTAGGCATTTCAGAACTCCATGAAGCCACAACAATTTCCTAGCACCCTGTGAATAAAATCATCAGTCCTCACCATCAATATGCTGTGGCATCTGTTCTTAACCTGGAGTCCGTGAGCTCTGAAAACCGATGGAGCCCTGGTACCATAGGGCTGAAGCCAACAGTCCTACTCATTGAAATTGAGGCAGTTCTTGGCATTTTTTAATTAATCAGATTAAAAGTCTGTCAGTCTATGTTTCTAACCAGCACCTCCGAAGAAAGATGACTACTTGATTTGTAGAATCAAGAAATTGGATCCAGAGATATTTGATCTAGAGCTTCCCTCAGACATGGAAAGACTCTACTAAAACCAACGGGAATCATAAGAGAGAGGTAGCCATGTTAGTTTTTCCTTTTGTTTCTACAAGATCAGACTATGTAGCACTTTAAAGACTAACAAGATGGTTTAATAGGTGATGAGTTTTCATGGGCCACTTGGGTCTGGCCCACGAAAGCTCATCACCTATTAAACCATCTTGTTAGTCTTTAAAGTGCTACATAGTTTTTCTGTTTGTTTCAATGGGAATCATGCATTCATATCTGAAGGAAGCTTTTAGGTCTCAGATCCAATACTCATTAACATTAAAAAAGTCCTTTCCTTCAATTGACTTCATAGGGTTCTGGATCATGATTTTGGTTCAGAAGTTCCACATACAATAGGAAATAGAACTATGCAGACAACAGTTGTGAGTGGAGGATTCCTCTGAACTAGTGCTGAATTTATAGACAACAAAATTGTATTATTAGCTTTTGAACGGGTACTGAAAATGGCTGAGAGAATCCTATGGCAGACTATTGTTTTTAACACAAGTTCTATTCTCCGATCTCCAAAATCCTAAATTAGTCTCTTCCCTCTTGTGGAGGACTCACTCACACACACACACTCCTCAACCTACAATATGTTTGCTTCTAATTCTTCTACTAGTTCTGAAAGGGTATATTTTGTGAACATAGCCCAACTCAGAGTAGCCTTAACACACTAACACTTTCTGAATTTCAAGAAGACGTAATTCACAGAATCACAGGACTGGAAGGAACCTTGACAGGTCATCTAGTCCAGTCCCCTGTACCATGGCAGGACCAAGCACCATCTGGACAAACAGGTGTCTGTCTAACCTGCTCTTAAATATCTCCAGTGATGGGAGATTCCAAAACCTCCCTAGGCAATTTATTCCACTGTGTAACCACTCTGACAGATAGGAAGCTTTTTCTAATCTCCAACCTAAACCTCCCTTGCTGCAGTTTATGCCAATTGCTCTTTGTCCTATCCTCAGAGGCCAAGGAGAACAATTTTTCTCCCTCCTTCTTATAACACCCTTTTAGGTACTTGATACTTGAAAACTACTATCATGTCCCCCTCTCAGTCTTCTTTTCCAGACTAACCAAACCCAATTCTTGCAGTCTTTCCTTAGAGGTCATATTTTCTAGACCTTTAATCATTTTTGTTGCTCTTTTCTCGACTTTCTCCAATTTCTCCACATCTTTTCTTAAATGTGGCACTAGAACCGGACACAGTACCCAAATTGAGGCCCAATTAGCATGAGTAGGTGCAGAAGAATTACTTCCTATATCTTACCTACAACACTCCTGCTAACACATCCCCAGAAGGATGTTTGCTTTTTTTTTTTTTTTTGCAACAGTGTTACACTGTTGACTCCTACCTAGCCTGTGGTCTACAACAACCAGATTCCTTTCTGCAGTATTCTTTCCTAGACTGTCATTTCCCATTTTGTATGTGTAAAACTGATTGTTCCTTCCTAAGTGGAATACTTTGCATTTGTTTCTTTTGAATTTCATTCTATTTATCTCAGACTATTTCTCCTGCGTGTCCAGATCAGTTTGAATTATAATCTATCCTCCAAAGCACTTGCGAGCCCTCTCCCACCTTTGTATCATCTATAAACTTTATGGCTACGTCTACACTGCAGGCTTCTTGCACAAGAACTGTTTTGATACGGTTTTGATACACATTGGGAAAAATAACCCCAACTATACATATAATATGATGGGGGCTAATTTAGCTACAACTAATCAGGAAAGAGATCTTGGAGTCATCGTGGATAGTTCTCTGAAGACGTCCACGCAGTGTGCAGCGGCAGTCAAAAAAGCAAACAGGATGTTAGGAATCATTAAAAAGGGGACAGAAAATAAGACGGAGAATATCTTATTGCCCTTATATAAATCCATGGTACACTCACATCTGGAACACTGCGTACAGATGTGGTCTCATCTCATCTCAAAAAAGATATACAGTACTGGAATTACAAAAGGTTCAGAGAAGGGTAACTAAAATGATCAGGGGTTTGGAATGGCTCCCATATGAGGAGAGATTAAAGAGTCTCCTCTTTTCCAAGCTGAAAAGTCCCAGTCTAAGGGGGGATATGATAGAGGTCTATAAAAGGATGAACATAAGCAAACAACGCAACTATGCAGGGGCAAGATTAGAAAGGCAAAGGCACAAAATGAACTCAATCTAGCTAGTGACGTGAAGAGTAACAAGAAGACATTCTACAAACATATTAGAAGCAAGAGGAAGACCAAGGACAGGGCAGGCCCACTGCTTAGTACAGAGGGAGAAACAACAACAGGAAACTTGGAAATGGAAAAGGTGCTTAACAACTTTGATTTGTTTTTTGTCAAGAATATTGATGGTGACAGATGCCTAACAAAGTGAATGCTAGTGGAAATGGGTAGGTTTAGAAGTTATAATAAAAAAAACAAGTTAAAAAATATTTAGAAAAGTTAGGTGTCTGCAAGTCACCAGGGCCTAATGAAATGCATTCTAGAATACTCAAGGAGCTGATAAAGAAGGTATCTGAGCCTTTGGCTGTCATCTTTGAAAAATCATGGAAGACAGGAGTGATTCCAGAAGACTGGAAAGGGACAAATCTAGTGCCGATCTATAAAAAGGGAAATAAGAACAACCCAGGAAACTACAGACCAGTCAGTTTAACTTCTGTGCCAGGAAACATAATGGAGCAACTAATTAAAAAATTAATCTGTAAACACCTGGAAAATAATAAGATGATAGGTAACAGCCAGCATGAATTTGTACAGAACAAATCATGTCAAACCAATCTGATAGCTTTCTTTGATAAAATAACAAGTCTTGTGGATAAGGGAGAAGCAGTAGATGTGGTATTAATAGACTTTAGTAAAGCATTTGATACGGTCTTGCATGACCTTCTTGTCAATAAACTAGGGAAATACAACCTAGATGGGGCTACTATAAGGTGGGTGTGTAACTGGCTAGATAACCATTCTCAGAGAATAGCTATTAATAGTTTACAGTCATGCTGGAAGGGCAGAACAAACAGGGTAGGGGTCTGTTTTGGGATCTGTTCAATATCACCTTCATCAACAATTTAGATGGTGGCATACAGAGTACTCTTATTAAGTTTGTAGATGATACCAAGCTGGGAGGGGTTGCAAGTGCTTTGGAGGATACGGTCATAATTCAAAATGATCTGGACAAACTGAAGAAATAGTCTGAGGTAAACAGGATGACGTTTAATAGGGACAAATGCAAAGTACTCCACTTAGGGAAGGAACAATCAGTCTCACACATACAGAATGGGAAGTGCCTATCTAGGGATGAGTCATAGTAGACCACAAGCTAAATATGAGTCAACAGTGTGACACATGCAAAAAAAGCAAACATGATTCCGAGATGCATTAACAGGAATTTGGTGAGTAAGACATGACAAGTCATTTTTCTACTTTCTGCTCTGTCCAGTGTGTCCAGTTCTGGGCACCACATTTCAAGAAAGTTGTGGAAAAACTGAAGGTCCAGAGAAGGGAAACAAAAACGATTAAAGGTCTTGAAAACATGACCTATGAGAGAAGACTGAAAGAATTGGGCTTGCTTAGTTTAGAAAATAGAAGACTGAGAAGGGACACGATAGCAGTTTTCAAGAATCTAAAACAGTGTTACAAGGAGGAGGGAGAAAAATTGTTCTCCTTGACCTCTGAAGACAGGACAAGCAGCAATGGGCTTAAACTGCAGCAAAGGAGGTTGAGGTTGGATATTAAACACTGGAATAAGTTGCCTAGGGAGGTCGTGGAATCTCCATCCTTGGAGATATTTAAGAGCAGGTTGGACAGACACCTGTCAGGGATGATCTAGACGGTCCTTGGTCCTGCTTTGAGGACAGGGAATGGGATTTGATGATCTCTCAAGGTCCCTTCCAGTTCTAGCATTCTATGATTCCCCGTATTTCTCACAAGATACAGATTTGATCCCTCCCAGTTTTATCTCGTGTCTCACTTTTTCTGCTGTAACAGCCCACGCTCTCCCCAAATTCCAACCCTTTGAGTTACTGAATAAAAGTGTTAAAAAGCCTCTCTTATCATTACAAATAATCATAATACAAAGGAGATGTGAGCATGGAGTTCTTCAGGATGTTTTCCACACAGAAATTCTTTTCACTTACATTTTATTTTTTTTAAATTATACTATTTTTTAAATGCTCTAGGAACATCTAAAATGATAAAATGTTCCTATTAAAAAGCACCCTATATATTTTGAGATGAATGTATTACATATTATTTAGGTATTTTATTTTTTACACCTAGCATTTTCTTAATTTACCTAGTTAAATTAAAAGTTTATGTTTTTGTTTTCAAAGGTTTTTACAAATGCTAAATAGTGTGACTATTGCAAAAATGCTTACCTGATAGGCAAAGGCTTGTGGTGAATTGTCAATTATGATCGTTTTTGAAAGATCTCTACCCAGGATATTTAAATCCTTTATATAATTTCCTTGTACACAAACACAATGCTCACGGAAAAGTCGATGCCTATGGGTTAAAGGAAAATAATAATTAATTTAGCAACTAAGAAAAAATATGTTGCACAGGGAAAAAGAAAATTAAATGGTGACGAGTGTTATGGAAGTTAAAATCTCAATTTTTCTTTTTTGATGTGCTCAGCTCTTCCAACTGGCTCTCTCTTGCAGGCCATTCTTTTATCATCAAAATCCTTAGCAAATAGGCAGACCTTACAGTCAAGTATTGCCATGCTTTAACAATAGAACTTGTGTGTTTCTCTAATGTTTAAAAGTTTCATGTTTATAACCAAAGAGAAGGATTTATAAAACTCTGTACTTTTGTGACTTTCCAAGGTCACACAGTATGCTCCTTAATGGAACCCAGGACTAGACAACAGAAGCTCCCTATCCTTGTGCATGCCAGAATAGAAAATATGACAAGGAAAGTTTTATGTAGAATGTTACCTATGCTGGCAATTAACCTACTTCAGTTATAACACCTTGAGAAAAGCCTCAAGGCCAAAACATTCCATTAACTGCTTTTCTTCCAATTACCCTGCTCTCCTTTAATTCAACAGAGAGATGCTGTATAGTAATTAGAATTATTTGGATAGTGCAAATTGAATCAGGTTATAGAAAGCAGTATTAAAATACAACTGAAGCTTTGTCACTTTATCAAATATAAAATAAACTGACTTTCAAATACAGATTACATTGAAATTGTATTACAATCTAAATGCATCTTTCTAAGCTTTACATTTTTTTTTATTGTGACAGTCTCTCAAAGGCTGTTCTAAAAATTCAGGAAATCTGATTAAACGAAATTAAAGAAGTTGTATCTGAAATGTTTAAGTTCACAAAGGAGTACAGCTCCCACTGTTTCTGTGGAAGAAAATAAGCTGATGGCTCAGAGACAAATAATTTGATATGTAGATTCCTATGTGTGGCATGCCACACAAGTTTCCCTTTAGGCTAGTGCCAAAACTAATCAAACCTTGATGTCAGCTTTACTGGCACATGAATCATAAGTATGGATCCAGTGCAAATTTTTAGAATAGAGTTCAGATACACCAGCCATTTCACTATATCTATCCTGTCTCAACAGGTTTAAAACTGCATTCTGAAGCATAACAATTAGAGCTGTAAAAGAATTTTTCAGAGAGACTTGTGAAGTATTACATTAGTTACTTCCATTAAGGGGGAGATAGCCATGTAACTTTCTGCAGAGTAATCAATGGGACAGAGTCCTTCAATATTTATCATTCCTTGTTATGTTATTCATATTTTATGTATTTAGAGACTTTCAGAAAAACAAATTTATAATTCTAACTAAATGAGGTAAAATGCATCAAATAACATTTGTTTGGGTTTCCTAAAAAGAATCTCAAAGAATATTATTACTGCATCTTAAGGAAGACACTGACATGAAGAACATAATAGTAGTGAAACTGTGAATAAACAACTTTTAAAAAGGCATAATAAATATGTCCAGATTCCACACACCAATACTGAAGATCTATTCAACTGAAATTTGCACAGTGTAGATTCCATGAATAGATAAAAATACTTTATTCTTTATTTATAGTCCTTAAATATAAACTCGGATTCCAAAGTCATAATGGCCCACTGCGATCACTGTGTACAACACTGGCCATACAACTTCCCTAACACAACTCCTGGATCTAGATTAGATGGCCAGGGTTGACAGGATTAGCTTTTTATCAGTAAATGTCTATAAATGTTGATTTCATCAGACAAGCACAAATTAACAAAACATTTTCATTGATAATAATTAAAAGAAAGAAAAATGCTGCTTGAGACCTTATAAGAGCTCGATTTAGGGATACTGGGTATATTTTGATATGTGATGTTGACAATTTCTGTTTTAACAGTCATAAAACTTTTTGAATCTTAACATCTAACATTAAATTACTTTCTAAGAAACCTATGATATGATTTCCACATAATTGCCTGCAACTGTGAAATGTTAATTAAATAAAAATTAAAGAAAAATGCTTAAAAATAAAAAGATGTGTGTCAAAATTATATAAAAATATATCAAATAAATTCTGCCAGGCATAAATGTAGCTTTAGTTTGAGTGCAGAATCCATACACTGTAACACTTTAATATTCCATTATTATTATTATTATTATTATTACTATGTCATGTAAGTTTCCCGGTCACGCTCTGCAGTACTGTACATACAAGTAATAAAAAGACTGTTTGGTATTTACATAAAAATATCAATTAGGTGAACTGCTCCTGTAATACTGAAGTTTTATAAAATATAAAACATTTGTCTTAGAACAAGATGACAGTATATCTTTAAAGACTTAAAATAAATTATGAGTGGTGTCCCAGACACTAAAAACAACATCCGGAGAAATCCTGATCTTACTGAAATTCAACGGGAGCTTTTCCACACAATTCAACAGGGCTGGAATTTCACCTTATGTTTCTTGCACTAAGATGATGCAAATGAGACATTTACAAATGAGCTCTTGGGCACAGTATCTTGCACTCCCTAGTTAGAGAAACATGGAAAATATTTATTCCCACTATTATGGCTACCACATTTTGGATGGATCCCTGAGGATTTCCCCCTTTTTTTTCCCTGTTTTAACTCTCCAATCCAAAAGTCCACCCCACCCTTCCTTCCAGGTATCAAAATGTAAATCCCTGCAACAACATTTCTTTAAAAATCTAGAGGAATTGTTTTTGAGCAATGCAACACAGTCACCTACATCATAAACCACGGCTCAAGTATAAAGACTTCGAAATGAATAAGGCTAAGTACCTCTATTAATAATCAACAAAAAATGGTTGAATGAAAGATGCAAATATTTTGTTTCTGCAGATGATGGATTTAAAATTAATTTTATTAATTAACCTTTAAAAAGTAGTTCATTTTAAAAACTCATCAAATAATGAATAATTTTCTCTGAAAAACAGTTTGTTTTCTATTTCATTGAATTTTGGGTGTACATAGACAATGTAATTAAGAAACAGGCACTAGAAGAATTACATTTGTTATGGATAACTCTCAAATATGTTATGATGGATCAAGAGATACATAAACTTTAAACCTCAAACTGGAGTCCAAAAAATGGATAGGGTTTATGTACCTACTATCCCTTGAACAATAATTCAATTAATTTCCCCCTCTCATTTCCCCCCTTCATGAATACAATCTTAGTCAATTTAGTGAGGCACAATACTACAAAGAAGTGAATATGTAATTATTGACTTTTTAATTATAATTTTATGAAAAAAATTTGTTAGCCTAACATTAGATATTTACACTAGTTTTTAAATCACATTTACCTGACCAGTTGCTTTTTAGGGTCTAGTATGTTCAATAGCTTGTCTGCATACACCTTCTTAGAAGCAGTAAAAAGAATGATCTATAAATTAGAGGAGGAAAAAGCTGCATCATTATTGCATTATTTAGCATAACATGAGTATATATAATAAAAAGAAATGTACGGGTTATAGCTAAGTATTATCTAATATACATCTGAGTTTGTGCACCTGTCTGTTCATCCATCTGAGAGTCTGTTCAAGAACGCCTCCTAAATGGTAAGAGCTAGGACCACCAAATTCATTTCCTCTTATCATAACTTAAAGCAAGGTCAGGGGTTGGTTGTGCCAGGACAAGGGGATGTGTGTGGCATGCGACTGATTCTCATAAAATGGAAAGACAGGACTGTGATTCCGGGGACAGTTATACTCCAGAATGACAACAGCGGGCTGCAAGCAAGTAAGTCCCCATCACCCCAAAGAGCCGTAGCACAGCTGCTGGCCAAGCAGCACGGCCCCTGCCGCCCCATGGAGCAATTTTGGCCAGGCAGCATGATCCCCACTGCCTGGGAGCAGCTGTCAGCTGGACTGAACAGCCCCTGCCTTGAGCCCCCAACCTCCTGCCCTGACTCATGCACCCCACACACACTCTGCCTGGAGCCCCACACCTCCTCCCCTGAGTCCTGCACTACCCACACCCTCAGCCCCCTGCCCTGATTCCTTCACATCCCCAAAACCTTGCCCTGACTCCTGCACCCCCTCCACTCCCACCCCCTTGTCTTGAAGGACCCGAGCAACACCAGATAAATCTTCTAGTTACCTCATAAATCTGAGACATACGTTCCAGGAATTCTCTGAAGAACGGCCTTAACCGCACATAAACCTAAAGAAATAAGAAACAGATTTAAATACAATACGCACAAAGGTTCAAAGTGGCTTTACTGTAGGGACAGTTGAAGCTATATAGTCTGTGCATTCAAAAATATTTTCAGCCAACTTGCAAACAACAGTCAACTCTTCAATGAGTGAAAAGGTAAAACTGTAAAGTGCTCTTTAACTGATTAACTAGAAAATGATGCAATCAGAAATCATTTTTAAAATACAGGAACCAGGCAATTTCTTAACTAAAAATTGTATTTTGCAATTCTGATCCCTCAATCTGCTTCAGGTGCTGTCCATCAGGCAGCAGCTACACATTACAAGATGATGAGTGTCAATATCTAGTTAAGTCAGCCTTCTCAATGGCATTCTTCAAGTAAGAATTACACATCTGATATATGGGTGTCAGAAGCCAATTAAAGGAGTTCCATCAATTCAAATGCCTCAGGCTGACAAAAGAATAAGCATACCTAATAAACCAGTAAAACGTTTATTATATACATAAAATCATGGAAGGAGACCCAAAATGAGACAGGTTTTCTGTACTCCCACCCCATGTCCTTTATCAAAATTATGTAAAAGAAAAATGGTTCATATTTGCTCAAATGGAGGCTAGAAGAAATATCTCCATCACTACACATTTAGGAGACATGCAAAATTACCTACTTGAAAACACACACAAAAGAAATGTCACGGTCAAATGGAAAACCACGAGCATTACCCAACATCATCTTAGCTGCTGCATCTTGAAAATTGCAGAAAATCTAAAACTGAATTCAGCGGATTACTTCTTAGACAGGATTTTAAAATGTCATATACTAGTGGCCCTGTGATGCTAGATTTTAGTGGCTCCCTCTAGGTGCCTACACATCTGGCAGTGGGAGGAGACTTCACACACTCCCCTCCTGAGCTCCCGGTCAATCAGGGCCTGGGGATGGAGGGAGAACGCAAAGTCTGCCCCTGCCCTGCAAGGGAGCACCACGCTTAGAGTCACCCGGCAGGTGATTCTAAGTGTTGAGCCTCTTGTAGGGTGGGAGAGATTTTGCATGCTCCCCTTGCTCCCTGCCCTCCGGCATGCGGCACTCAGTCAATGTGCTACGCACTCCCCCATACCTAGGCCCTGATTGGCCTAGGGGCGGGGGAGCGCAAGGACCTCTGCAGGCCGGATCAACCCATTTGGTGAGCCAGATCCAGCCTGCGGAGGCCCTGTTGCCCACCCCAATATAGTGGTACCAATCACCATAGTAGTAATCAACTAAGTAGCCATCTGAACAGAGAACCGAAATGAAATCTTTATAAACCTATCAAGTGAAGGAGTAAGGCCACTGTCTCCAACAGATGAAAATAACCAGCTGTGTAGATGCTGCTCATTGTCCTTGCATTCTACTGGAGTCATTCGTTGAGGGTCTAAGAAATTATCCTTCAAGTACGCTATCAAGCTCAGCTCTTAGCATTTATGGACTGTGACTGTTAGGTCACTGGGTTATGTACACCAAGATGTTTGGACTGAAATGCCAACTGTCTAAGTACAGTGCTGAAATGTGTACTTTTACCACAAGTCCCCTGCTAGTACCAGAATCTAAGACAGTTACACATCACTTTGCACAGTCAGGTATTGAAAACACACTTTTTTAGACTTAAGACTAGATGAGCTATTACGTAGCTACAAATGCACAGCAGACTGCCTCCTATTACGATGTGCGGCTACATGCAGCAGTGAAAGCCATGGCAGGAGAGAGTCAGCAGGGAAACACTTTGGCACCTCCTCTAAACTACATCTGGAAATGTAGTACATATGGAAATTCCGGTTCCATATGACGACCCTGGCATTCCTAATTCTTTTGCTACTGATCAAGGACTGGTTTGCGACTCTCAATCTAAAGGATGCTTATTTCCATATCACAACAACAGGTACCTCTGTTTCATGGTCGCCAGGCATCATCTCCAGTACAAGGTGCTTCCATTAGTCTGGTTATTTATGAAGAGCCTCTCCAAAGTAGCAGCACATCTAAGGAGGCAGATATTTTCTTGTATCCATATTTGGACAATTGGCTACGGAAGCCAGATGAGTGCTAGGACCCGCTGAGCCACAGGCTAGGTCTACTCTAGGGGGCAATGTTGAACCAAGGTACAGGAAGCCCCTGAGCTGCGACCACCCAAGTTGCAACCCCCTGCAGTTACAACCATTTTTGTAAGCGCGGAAGGGGCCAAAAAACCCCGACTTACATCCTTGTCCCGCATTTAGGACGGCGCATGATGCCTATTGTAAATGAGGGTTCGAGTTACAACACCCCGACTTGCGACACTTCCCCAGGAGCCCATCGCATCACAAGTCGGAGGCCACCTGTACGCAGTTCCAGCTACATGAACAGCATAGCTGGAGTCAACGTACCTTAAATTGAATTGCCACAGCATCTCCACTGCAGGGGGTCAACAGGAGAAACTCCCTTCAATGTCCCTTACAATTCTCAATCTGGCAGAGTATTGGAGTTGATGGGAGAGTGATTAGTAGTTGATTTAGCGGGTCCAGGTGATCGATCCCCACAGCACCAATCTCTCAGTAAGTGTGGACAAGGCCACAGTTACCATAATTAACCTCTTCTCAGGTCTAGGGTTTTTCCTCAGTATTTCAAACCAGTCTTTTGTCCTATTCAATGGATCCCCTTTACAGGTCCCATATTGGACTCAACAGCAGGGAGAGCTCTTCTGCCAGATGATAGGATTCTCAAATTGGAGCAATGCCTACTGAAAATATGAAGTTGCACCACATTGATGGTCAAGTTCTTCCTGAGTCTCAAGGAGGTTCACAGAGCAGCGACTACCTATGAGACTCCATTTGTCCATCTGACAATATTTCCTTTGCAGCACTGGACATCCCTATATCTAATCCAAATTGATATGGTCTTCAATTGTGTCTCATCATGTCCCAGACAATAGCAGCCTACACTGCTGGTCAAAACAGGAACAACATGTTCAAAGTGAAGAGTTCACTCCTCCAGCTCTATCTTGCACAGTGACTTCAGATGTGTCAACCAAGGACTAGAGAGTACACTTGAACAATTTAATCATGGGAAAATTATCAATTTATTGTCCATTAATACATGCACAATGTATTATATCAACAAATGAGGTTGCTCACTCCACCGCTTCTTATGCGGATTCACTAAGTCAGGGATTGATGCATCCACCACATTTACCCCCACAACAATACAACTGGCAGAGAAAAACAGTATGCTTGCAGATCTCCCCAGGAGAGAGATGCCTCCCAGAAGCCCTTTCCAGATGGGGTCGACAAATCATGGATCTGTTCATGACAAGTTATTCTGGAAATCCACCCAGTTGTTTGTAGTGGTTGCAGACAGGATGAAAGGTCTCCCCATATCAACTCAGAGACTCTCATCATGGATCACATCATGTATCCACATAAGCTACAAGCTGTCAGGTGTTCTACCCCCACCCATCTTAACTGCTTACTTCACAAGGGCACAAGCATCTTCAGTGGTGTTTCTAGCACAGGTTCCTATTCAGGATTTTTGCAGAGCAGAAAGTTATTTCTCAGTGCACCATTTTCTTCTCATTACACCATAACTCAGCAGGCCAGGGACAATGCCAGATTTGGCTGGACTGTGTTCCAGCCAGCATGCCTATGTTCTCCCAGCCCATCATCAATTCAACTGCGTTGGACAAGTGCAAGCACTTGAAGAAGAAAAGGGGTTACTCTTCAAGATGTTTTGCACGTGTCCATTCCAAAACCCAAGCTCTTACTCCTCTTATCAGAAATTGGCTAGAAGAAGGAACAGAATGGGGGCAGGGGCAGCAGAGCCTTTATACCAGCACTATGGACAAGTGAGCAGCACCCAGGGACACCAGAATGGACCCAAGGAATACCACTGAGAGAAATTCTTTTGGCAACCATGCTCAACACACACATGCACCTGCACGTGTGCAATTCATCTCAACAGTTATGGAAAAGTTAACCATTTCAGTCAACAGGAAGTGTCAGCCTTTTTGTTCTAGAGCAATCAAAAGGGATCTGTCTTTTCCAGGCCCTTTTCTATGATACAGGGGAAGTGGTCTGATGGTGATAGACAGAGATAATACTCAGTGCCTCAGTTTGGCCATGTTGACAGTTGGTTACAGATCTCCTTCAGCTATCTGGTGGAATTTTCATATTTCTCTACATCATCAGATCTTCTGGCTCAGTCTGCACTTATAGTCTTCATTTGTGCAGGATATATTGCTTAACTCTAGGAAATAGCTCACTAGAAATTACTACTACTGGAAGTAGTCTAGATTGCAGGAATGGATGCAAGGAAGCTTGATCCTCCATGTTTAGCTTCTGTTCCTTTTATTCTGGAACATATGATGTAATTAAAGAATTAAGGTGTATCTAATTTACAATTAAAGGTTCACTTGGTAGCCATCTCCCCATACCATACTCTAGTTGATGGCAGATTGCTGTTTGATCATGCTTCAGTTACAGAGTTTGTGAAAGGTCTGTTGAATGTGCATCCTCTTCTCAGAGACCTTGTCCATTCTTGGGACCTCAAGTTGGTCTTAATTATGTTGATAACATTTTCATTTGAGCCCTTGGATGAATGTTCTTTGCATCATTTATCCCCTAAAACAGCTTTCATTTTTGCCATTACATCAGCCAAAAGAGCGAATGAACAGAATGAACTCAAGGATGATCCACCATTTATTTATTTAATTTCATAACGACATAGTCGTTTTTAAACCAGATTTTCAGCTTATACCTAATGTGGTGCCTGTTTTAATTGGGTCACATTCCACTTTACCTGTGGCTACTTCCTTTGTTTGTCTAAGGCAGGTGCCAGCTGCTGGGATCTGCAAAGCTGCAGCCTGAGCATTAAGCACTACATACCTTCCCCAAGCACTACCCTCCGGATTTAGCTTCCAGAGCAGACGCTGGGTGGGCTTGGCAAGTTGGTGCTTCAGTCTTTATTCAACTAGGGCTCTTTTCCCATCTCCAAGATAGTCTCA